GAGCTATGAACCCATGGTCTTTCTCATCAATGGACTAATCATGCCATTAAAATGTTGAAAACTATTAAATGACACGTACTAGATATAAACATTAAGTTGAAATACAAATTACAGCCCTACCTGGTGTGGCTAAGTGGATAGAGTGTCAGCCTGTGGACTGAAGGGTCCCAGGTTGGGCTGGCTCGATCCCCAGTAGGGGGTGAGCAGGAGGCAGCTGATCAATGATTCTCTCTCATCATTGATGTTTCTCTCTCTCTCCCTCTCCCTTCCTCTCTGAAATCAATAAAATATATTTTAAAAATAATTTTTAATGGATCAAAGTGTACATTGTTCTGTAATTTGCATTTCTTTTTTAAAAATTGATTTCAGAGAGAAACATCAATGATGAGAGAGAATCATTGATTGGCTGCCTCCTGCAAGCCCCCTAGTGGAGATTGAGCACACAACCGGGGCCTGTGCCCTTGACCTGAATTGAACCTAGATCAGCCGTGGGCAAACTACAGCCTTCGGGCCGGATCCGGCCCGTTTGAAATGAATAAAACTAAAAAAAAAAAAAAAGACCGTACCCTTTAATGTAATGATGTTTACTTTGAATTTATATTAGTTCACACAAACACTCCATCCATGCTTTTGTTCCGGCCCTCCGGTCCAGTTTAAGAACCCATTGTGGCCCTCGAGTCAAAAAGTTTGCCCACCCCTGATAGATCCTTCAGTCTTCAGGCCGACGCTCTATCCAATGAGCCAAACTAGTTAGGGCAATCCCATTTTTACACATTAAAAAATGTCCATTTACAGACATAAAATCACTTTAAAGGTTCAATTGGTGAAATATACCTAAAGATTCAGAAGAATCATCAACTGGAACAATTTTTCCCTTTATCCGTTTCTTTCCCATGTTGGCACTTCATGGATTACTTCCTGACACAAAATAACAATCTAGGAAACAAGATAAAATTAGCTTGATTAAAAAAAAGTTCATTTATGCTTTTCTGAGACAGTAAGAGAACTCAGCCACAGGTAACATTTTACATGTTTATCACACATTATAATTTATAAAGACCATTCACATATATCATGTAGTTTTCAATAAAAACTGTGAAGTAGAGAGAATAAATAGTACTACACCAGTTTCCTAGCTTAGGAAACAGATTCTTAGTCAGGTTAAGAGGTTTTCAATAAATGTGAAGGTCAGGAGAGAACCCAGGTCTTACCAAGACCTGAAGTCTCAGCACGTGACACCATTTGGATTCAACTTCTCACTAAGCACGTGTGGAATGCTGGTGGCACGCAGACGATGTCCTTCCCTTCTAAGTTGCCTTTCTTCCTTTCTTTAAAATATATTTTTATTGATTTCAGAGACAAAGGGAGAAGGGGAGAAAGAGATAGACACATCAATGATGAGAGCCAATCATTGACTGGCTTCCTCCTGCACTCCCCACACTGGGAATGGAGCCCATAACCCAGGCATGTACCCTGACAGGGATTTGAACTGTGACCTCCTGGTTCATAGCTTGACGCTCAACCACAGAGCCACGCTGGCCAGGCTAAGCTTCCTTTCTTAGCTCTGAGGTCTATGCAAATTAAATCGATAATTTCTCTAAGAAAAATTATAAACAATTCTGAAAACAAACTATTAAAGGGAGTTAGAAAATTTGCAAAATAATTACCAGGCCAAATACAAAACAATGATACATTGTTCTGCATTTTCCACACCAGAACTTCCTATATGAATACTACCCTATATGGATATTATATGATAATTTATTATAATTGCATTGTCAAATATTTATATACTTGTGACCCAGTGCATGAAATTCATGCACATTAAAAGGGAATTAATTAGAGGAAATATTTTAATATTGCTATTTGCCCTTTCTCTATAATAGTGTCAGAG